GAACAAACAAACTATATTTATTAAAAGAAAGGCCAGCAGGAAAAGAAGAAAGGAAAAAAACCAAAACAGACTATTTGGCTATGACAAGAACAAACAAGCTGTTTTGCCCAGGAGCCATCAAGGCAGGAAGCAAGCGTAAATTGCTACAATTTTTTTTTTTTTTTTAACGTTTTTACTGTGAATTGAGTGAAAGGTTACAGGGCAGATCATAACTTTTACATTCAACAAGTCATACACCTTGTTTCATTACAATGATTATAATCCCCTCCTTGTACCATCAGTTAACCGTATTTCTCTCTGTTCATTTAAGCTCTTTTTAAAAACACTCAAGTATATATATATATAATAATTAAACCACCACAGGACACATTCTGCAAGTCTGCCTCCTGGCTATCAGCTCCCATTCCCTGTTTTTCCATGAATCTAGAGTCCTCAACTGCTCCCTCTCTCCATGTCCCCATCTCTGCCTCCATCTCTGGTGTCGCTGCTTCTCTGGATAAGGTCCCACATTCTGCTTGTGCTCTTCTCTCCTGATGGCCCTAGGGTCCTCTGTTTCTGGACTGTAAGATTAACTACTCCCCCGTTTTTGCTACAAAACGTCTACTTTTACAATTGTGACAGTCGCATAAATTGCTACAATTTGATGAACTTGACCTTAAATTATAGATGTAGTAATACAAATCCAAGGGGCTCTGGTTGTATAGTGGTTACGAATTGGGCTACGAACCACAAGGTCAGCAGTTCAAAACTACCAGCGGTTCCGTGGGAGAAAGATGAGGTTTTCTGCTCCCGTAAAGATTTACAACCTCGGAAACCCTGTGCCAGGGTCACTATGAGTTGGAACCTACTCCACGGCATGTAACAACAAAGCACAAATACCAACCGGGAGACAAGGAGTCTTCAAGGATCAAGCTTATCCCCTCAGTATATAGTGTTGATAGAGAAGGGCAACTTAGACATTAGCTAACTAAAATGGGGGGCTATAAAGGTACAAAGTGGCTGGCTTACAAGTTTATAGGAAGGAGTTTCGTTTCACAGAAAGTGGGGGAAGGTAGAATTCCCCACTGAATAGTTTCCATCTTGTCTAGAAGGGTCAGGTTAAAGGAAAAGGGGATAGGATTCTTTTGATTTAATAGTAATTGTTACCATGACTAATGGCTATTGTCACAATTGTAAAGACCAAAGATGTGTATCAAAGAGGAGGGAGTAGTTAATCTTATATCCCAGGGACACAGGATCCTAAGATCAGCAAGAGGAAAGAGCATGAGTGGAAAGTGGGATCTAACCAGAGAAGCAGTGATGGCAGAGACAATGGCATGGAGAGAGAGACAGCATCTGAGGACTCTATACTCATGGAAAGAGAAAGGCTGTGTACTGACAGGCAGGGGCCTGGCTTGAAAAATATATCCTTCAGTTTTAAACAATTATATATTCTTTTTGTGTACATCAAAAAGGAGATTGTCATCAGTACACTAAAACAAGATATGATTGGTTGAGTGCAAAACTGATGTTCTGCCATGTAGACTATCACTCAATTCTCAATAAAAGCTTTATTAAAAAAAAAAAAAAAACTCGATAGGAGAAACCTCAGAAGGCAAGAGAGTTATAGGAAAAAATGGAGACAGGAAACAGATGAAGTGGAAAGAGTGATGTTTCATTATGGAAACTGTAATCAGTGTCACACCACAAAATGGGTATGAACTGTTGAATTGGAAACCCATTTACTCGGTAAACAGTCACCCAAACTATAGTTAAAAAATGAAGAAGACATGGAAAACAATGATTAGCAATGGTTTGGTGGCACAGTGGCTTAAGCACCGGGCAGCAGACTATAAGGTTAGCAGATCACGCTCACTAGTAAGTAGCTCCGTGGAAGAAAGATGAGGTTATCTTCTGTAAATATCTACAGAATCAGATACCTAGGAAACAGACCTACTCCATTTTATAGGATCGTTATGAATAGTAATTGACTCGATGTCTTTGGGATTTGTTTTCACTTGGTTTTGTTGCTAAAATAAAATAGAACGTGAAATCATCAGCCTATGAATGGTACTACATATGGTATGTCTATAAGATGCACATTGATATTTAGTGATAGGGTTCCATCCTCTACTAAACTTAGGGAAATGCTAGCATTTTCTCAGTGTCTGCCAAGGTCATATCAGCTATGTGATGCTACCAAATGCTATGTGCTGCTACCAAATAATGCTGGACAACATTTGTATCTCATTGGGTGCAGAGACAATGTCATTCGAAGTATAGGATTTTGCACCCGATTAAAAGTGACTGATGAATGACTGAATTCATCTAAAGGTGAAACATTTTATTGTATTTATTCACAAACTTTTGTTATAATGGTAGTCATAATAGAACATTACATAATATTTTTTTGAAATGAGTAAATAGCCAGAATTAAAAGATCAATAGAAAAATAATTAAGAAAAGTAAAATCAGTGAATTCTCCTATAAAATAAGACAAAGATGTAGAAATAAACTACTAGAGAAAAGTTAAGTCAGTGTATAAAGTCTAGCATCTGATGAAGAAAGAGAAAACATAAATGAAGTAGAGAGAAAAATATTAAAAGAGATATAGGAAAATTTCCCAGAATCATAGGACACAAATCTTTAAATCTAAACAGTATATCGAAAGAAAAAGATCGATTTACCGGTATTCATCAGAAGATTGCAGAACACCAGGGATTAAGAGAATATCTTAAAAATTTAGAGTGAGGATGTGAGTCAGGAATATACATAAAAAGAAAAGGGAATCCAAATATCCAAATTCTCATAGCCGCATTGGAAACTAGAAGGCATCCAAGCAGTGTGTTTTATTTACTAAGCACAAATGATATTCAACCTATAATTCTATGCCCAGTCAAATCATCATGTATATAGGAAAGAAGTAACTTTCAGACAAGCTAGGTCTCAAAAACACTATTTCTCTGGCATCATTTTCAGGAACCTACTAGAAGAAATAGTACAGAAAAAGGAATAAAGCAAAAATAAAAGGTCACAGGTCCTGGGAAATAGTAATTGAAACACAGGAGAGTAACTAAAGGAACTCCTAGAAATCTCCTCCCCCCCATACCCACCTGCTAAATAATTAAACTGGTGAGAACAGTGCCTAAATTTTTAGAAAATTGTTGTTGTTGTTAGGTGCCATTGAGTTGGTACCGACTCATAGCGACCTTATGCACAGCAGAACAAAACACTGCCCGATCCTGGGCCAACTTCACTGCTATTGCCACGCTTGAACCTATTGATGCTGCCACTTGGCCAATCCATCTCGTTGGGTGTCTTCCTCTTTTTCTCCCTCCACCTTACCACACATGATATCCTTCTCCAGTGATTGGTTGTTAGTGTATGATTAATCACTAGACTTATGGGAATGTTTAGCAATAAGCATATAGAACTTTTTTGTTGTTAAGTGCCATTGAGTCAATTCTGAGTCATAGTGACTCTAAGTAGGGTTTTTAAGGAGCAGCAGGTGGGTTTGAACTTCAGACCTATGGTTAGCAGCAGAATGATTATCCTACAGTGCCACACCAGGATTCCTATAGAACACAGTTGTTGTTAACCACCATCGAGTTGGTTCTGACTTACATCAACCCTGTATAGGGTGTGTAAGGAGCAGCTGGTGAGTTTGAACTGCCAACCTTACAGTTCAAACTGACCTTGAGGACTGGTGCTTTATCCTACAGCACCACACTAGGAGCCAATGATAAAAATCAAAAGGCAGCTATTAGCTTCAGGAAGCAAGAACTTAACAGTTCCTCAGGGTGTTTTCCACTCACAGAGTCAGACCCACATCTTTCTATAAAGTGTACTTCGGCTTTGCAATAAAATCCTATGAGTGAATGCCCAGTGTGCTTGCATCCTTGAGAAGCGAGCACTCCAGTTGAGTCTGTTTCTTAAGATTCCTAGAGAGGAGGACCAGGAGACATGTGACAGCCATGAAGAGGAAGACGCCCCAATGAGATGTATTGGCCCAGTGGCAGCTGCAATGGGCTCATGCATAACAATTGTGAGGATGGTGCGGGACCAGGCTGTGTTTGTTCTTTGTAAATAGGGTTGCTATGTGTCTGAATCAACCTGATGGTACTTACCAACAAGAACAACTATTTACCAACCAGGTTGGCCTCATAACCTTTCAAAAAGTACATGAGATGAAATCTTACTATCATCTATTCTTAGGATCATTCCGGCTGTATTTCTTATATGACACATTTGTTTCTTTTGGAAGCCCAAGGTGCATTCGATATTTGCCAGCTTTATAATTCAGAGAAGGAACTCTGGTAGCGTAGTGGTTACGAGTCAGGCTGCTAACCTCAAGGTCAGCAGTTCAAAACTACCAGCAGTGCTGCAGGAAAAAGATGAGGCTTTCTGTTCCAGTAAACATTTACAGCCTCAGAAACCCTATGCAGGGTCGTGATGAGTAGAAACCAACTCCATGACAAATTACCACCACCATTACCACCACAATTTAAAGGAGTACTGATGTGGCACTGTGGATTAATGCACTGGACTACAAGGTCTGTTTGAACCACAAGGTTGACAGTTCAAGCTCACCAGCCACTCCCTGGAAACCCTATACAGAACCCAACTCAATGGCATTTAAAAATAGCAACAAAATAATTCAAATTAATCAATTCTCCAGTTTTCTCTTACTTATTGCCCAGCTTTCACAAGTATATGAGGCAATTGAAATGGCTTCAGTCAGGAGCCCTGTAGTCCTCAGACTGACATTTTTGCATTTTAACACTTTCACAAGGTGTTTTGAAGCAGATTTGATTTCTTGGATGCTGTTTCCATTTACTTTTCATAATGGTTTCATAATGGTTACAAATGTGTTGCTTTTGAAACATTTAGTTACATATTTGAAGCTGTAAAATATGATTATAATAGAAAATATAGATATAAAATTTAATTTGATTCCTTCATATTGTAAATATTTTTGGTATAATTAATTGTTTTTTTTTTTATTTTTTTTTTCCTGTTAGATGTTTAGTGCCAAAGAAATTGAATTACAAGTAACTGAAATCGAAAAGGAAAAGGAAGAAGCCGAGAAGAAGAAATCAAAGAAGAATGTCTAATTCTTAGGATAGATAAACATGAAGAATGTTTAATGTTTTGTTACACTGTGTAGAATTATTTAGTGAAACTTTAGAGGAAATAAGTTTTTTGATATTCAGTGAAAGTTAAGTGACTTTTTGAGATTGTCATATTCATGGCTGTGTTCAGCCTACTAAATAGAAAACAGATTGAAGATTTTCTCTGAAAGGATAAAATATATTTTTCCTTTAAAAATTGATAATTATGTCAAATTTGAATATTGAATTTTGGTTAGATTTGTCTATTTACTTTTTCCTTGTAAGTTGCATTATATAATTTGCTCTTTGAAGGCCTAATGTAAATAGGCAATTAGAGTGTGGTAGGAGTCTATAAAAGCATTAAAACAGATGGTCAGTGAGCATAAGGAGAGAAATGAGTATGTGTATCTTTAGTGTAGCCATCTCTTGCATCTTAGGTGTGCAGTATCTTAGGTTTGTTACATGAACCATCTGTGTGCTTACTATGTTCTTAGTGTTGTGCTGTGGATAGAGGAGTAAAAGAAAAATAAAAAGTAATCCCTACCAATAGAGAGGGGATTTAATCAAATGACGCACAGAAAATATGTTTAATATCTGTATGGAGGTTATGTTTTAGAAAATAAAAGGATATTTAATAGCTGTAAAATCAAAAGCCAATACATATTATTTTAGGGCTTTGCTTTTTTAATGTGTCTTTTTTGAAAACAGAAGAGAGAGTTTGCATTTTGGCAAGGAATGAAAAGCTCAGAGAGATGGTAAAGGAATGAATAAGGTAGGGTCAGCAACTGTCATGAAAATCTCGGTTATCAAGGGCAGGTTATTTTTAAGTGCCATTGAATTCGTTTTGATCCTATGTAGGGTTTCCAAGGTTATAAATCTTTGTGGAAGCAGAAAGCCTCATCTTTCTCCAACAGAGCAGCTAGTGGGCTCAGACTGCCAACCTTGTGGCTGCTGCTGGTGGTGGTGGTAATGTGCCTTGGAGTCAGTTCCAACTCATAGTGACCTGTCCAGTGCTTAGCCTACCGAGTCACAATACTCCTAATGAAAAGCAAAATTTTAAGAGGTTTAAAAGACTTTATAGGAGCCACCTCACTGATATTACTCTGGCCTCCTACTGTTGGAGCATTTTCTAGAGCTAAGTGTACATACACTTATTCTGGACTTAGACTTACCCTCTGAATGTCCTTTTAGTCTCAATCACTAAAGAGAAAACCATGGGATTATTGTTGTTAGGTACCATCAAGTTGGTACCGACCCATAGTGACCTTATGCACAGCAGAACGAAACATTGCCCCATCCTGGGCCAGCCTCACTACTGTTGCCACTCATGAGTCCATCGATGCTGCCACTTGACCAATCCATCTCATTGGGGGTCTTCCTGTTTTTCTGTGACCCTCCACCTTATCAAACATGATATCCTTCTCCAGGGACTGGTCCCTCCTGACAATATGTCCAAAGTATGAGAGATGAAATTTGGCCATCTTGGCCTCTAAGGAGCACTCTGGCTTCACTTATTCCAAAATGGATCTGTTGATTCTTTTGGCAGCCCATGGCACTTTCAATATTCTCCTCCAACACCATAACTCGAAGGCATCAGTTCTTTTACGGTCTTTCTTATTCTCTGTCCAGATTTCGCATGCATATGAGGTTATTGAAAATACCATGGCTTGGGTCAGGCGCACCTTAGTCCTCAAGCTGACATCTTTGCTGTTCAGTACTTTAGAAAGGTCTTGTACAGCAGATTTGCCTAATGCAATATGTCGTTTGATTTCTTGATGTCTGCTTCCGTGAGTGTTGATAGTT